AAAAAAAAGTATCTCATTTACACTCAAAAGTTCAAATTTTTGAGATACAATGGGCGTTTTTCGTTAGAAATAACGTTTCAACCACTTTTATACATAAATTTGACGAAATTTGGCTGAAAAAGGAGTAGAAAAAAGTGGAAAAAAAAGGAAATGTCGAAAAAATCGACAAAAATACGATTTTTTGTGCGTTTTTTGACATAAGCGAAAAAAACGCATAAAATTTGACTAAAAGTTGCTACTTTTGTTCAAAAAACGTGAAAAATCGATATGTCTGTCTGCTTGGGTCGTCACAAATCATGATAGATGAGTCTCCGCGACTATCACTAACCGTGACAGACACCCTTAACACATTCGACCCGATGGGGTCCACCGGTGGACCCCACTTTGCATTTGATATTCTAATCTCTAAATACGTTTTATTAAAAAAAGCAACATATACCATAAGATTCAGCGTGAAAAGCTCTACAATCTCCATAGTAAAGCTTATTTTAATTGTGTAATTTTTGTTTTCAAAGAAAGTCAAACTCTGTATAACTAGTTTTCGAAGTTGCGAAACGATCATTTTTTTTGCACAAATGTGAAATTTCATTTTTCTTGTTTCATCTTTTTATCACCTAATATTATTTCGTAAGAAAAAACAAAATATAGCACAAGATGCAGTGTGAAACGCTCTACAATCTACATCGTAAAGTTTATTTTTTGTTTTCGAAAAAAACAAAATTCTGTGCAATCAATTTACGCAACCTCAAACATTGGTAACACACAATTTTAGTTTATTTTGAAAACAAAAAGTACACAATTGAAATAAGTTTTATGATGTAGATTGTAGAGCTTTTCATGCTGCATCTTGTGGTATATTTTGTTTTCTAATAAAACGCGTTTAAAGATGTTAGTTTCTATGAAATTTGAATCGGAGTGAATGTGTTAAAACGAGTTGCAGACGTTTCTGATGCACTATTACCGATTATATATCACTAAACTTTCACGAAACTATATAAATTGCTTCCTTTTTGCTATTCTACAGCATTAAGTAAAACTTGATGAAAAATGAGTTTGCAGATAGATTGAATAAAACAATATTCTGGTGATTAGTAACAGGAGCGATATCGTGTTTCATATTTTAATCCCGCAGAGATTGCGCTAACAGCTTTTTATTCGAGCTGTCTTCATTGCCATACTTAGTATTTGGATCGTTTCTTTTGAGATAGTTAGAGACTTGAGCATCATATTTATTTATTGTTCTTTAGTAGTATCCGTGCTTATACATACATGATTGTTATCAACGAGTTTTTGACAATTGTAATTTGTCTCTCCATTTTCAACCTACATACAGTTTTCTGTGCAACATGCTGGTCGACGGATGCTTGTATAGATGTGAATGAATGTGCTGCAAAAGGTGGCACTTCTCAAGCAGGTCTTTGTCCTGGTGCTGCCAATATTCAGTGTTGTTCCTGGTAAAATACTTAATCTAAATATGCCTAATGTAATACTCATATTAAAAAATATCATGTAGCTCAATTGATGATTGACTGCATTCTTTCTTTTCTTCGTATGATTTCTTTCAAAGAACATAAAAATTTAGATTGCTTCTTTGCTTTAGCAATCAATCACTCTAAATTATTAAGATAACATTTGCTGACAGTATTCCATATAAGATTATCGAAGTATCCTATGAGAAAAAAACATTAGTATTGCATGAAGTTAATAAAAATTTAACTTAAGTCATTCATTTTGTCGCTCTTAATGCGTTCTAGGAAAGTAAATACATAGCTACTTAAAGTCAATGTCATTTTCACGTGGCAAACGAAAATATACAAAATACTGTAATCAAGTCAGTTTACCAGATGGAACACCTATATGACGTTTGATTATATTTTTGAATTAATCCATCAACAACAGATAGTCAATTCTATTTGGCAGTAGGATGAGTCATTGAGTAGATGTATGCAAAGAAAGAGGTCTTCGATTACACCCATTCACTGTTAAAACCTTAGAATTTTTTTTATAAAAAAAGAAATTATATGATGAAAAGAAAGCGTTCCCATCTTAAACATGTCTATGAGCTATTACATATGAAGCATAAGGATGTAGAAAGGTAATCGTGGTTTGCGTTGTTTATTTTTGAAGGTGTGGTGGAGTGTGGGTATGGACGGAATGAGCTTAAATGCCTGAGGATGGTAATTAGTGGATGCATCTACTGTGATAGACTTTATGGCAATGGAGTCATCTTTCTTTTGCTACGGTATTAGGAATTTTTCGACTTCAGAATTTCGGATTTTTCCGCAAGAAGAGTGTTAAGCAGTCTTGAAGTGTATATCAAGAAACTTTGTTCAAACGATCTTGTCCCTCTCGATACAGGCCTTGCCAGTACAACTCAGATGTTGTTGCGGGCTCATATATTATTTTTTATTGATATTTGTAACCACAGTATTAATCATTTTAGGATAATTATTTTTCGATGGCAAAAAATATGGTTTCCAGAATTTAGGACCATAGAATCATAAAATTTTAAACCATCCCAATGGAGAGTATTCGATATGAACGTAATTTTTTTTGAAGAACGAAAATAGTGTCTTTTGGATTACATAGCTATAAATATGAAAAATTTCTGCAAACCATGCTAGATAGACCACACAATTTTATGTCTTTCAGAACGATAGAGTTGTTTGTTGTTATTAGTCTGAATCGATTCGGAATTTCAAAGTTTAAAAAATTATATTTGATCTCGTAATCCAGCATATTAGCTCCTATCACGGTCATGCGGAGTTGATTCTCGTCTAATTCTGTGATGGATCTTGATGAACATAAGAATCGCTTCCACATTGATGTGAAACGGTGCCGTTGTCTTTCATATTTTGATTCCGCAAGGATTACTCTGAAAACTTTTTACTAGAATGCAATTTCGTCACCTTTCAGTCAGAGATAAGTAAATAGGAAATCGATGAATGTTAATTATTTTTACGGCTCTTTGTAAGTTTTTATTTTATATCTTCTTTCAGATATATCTAAAGCAATTTTTGAACTCAATCATACATAGATACAGAGAAAACTTTAACCACTATCTTTTGATAAAAAAAATAGATTTCAATCAAATGAAGATATAGAACAGATATGTGTAAAATATAAATAGTCTACTTTATTCTGTGCCAGCACTTTTATACGTTGATCGATATCTATAGTTCTTTATTTGATTAGCTGCACACACTAGCGGACTTTTTTTAGTTCTACGTGTATGGAAGCAGAAGCTTGTTCGGCTAATAATGGTATTTCTTACTCGGGCATCTGTTCTGGTCCTTCAAATATTCAATGTTGTAAATCAGGATCATTGCCAGTTGTAGTTCCCAGCAAGCCAGTCAATACAATGCTTACTGATTTAGCTGATATTCTTCGTGGTGCTGGTCTCAATGTGGTTGAAGAAACCGGATGGAAAACACGTGGTCACGCTGTAATGAGTTCAGTGAACGGTATCATTGTACACCATACAGCTGGTCCAGCAACAGGCGAATATCCATCACTACGAATTGTTCGAGATGGTCGTACTGATTTGCCAGGTCCACTTTCACAACTTGGACTCGGTCGTTCCGGAACTTGGTATGTGATTGCAGCAGGAAAATCTTATCATGCTGGTAGCACTATCAATGATGCGATTTTTGGCAACGCAAATGCAATAGGCATTGAAGCTGAAGGAACTGGCCTTCCAGCTGATAACACTGGTCATGAAAATTGGCCAGAAGTTCAATGGCAGAGTTATGTACGTGGTGTTAAAGCACTTCAAGCAGCTTATGGTGTGCCTACATCACATGTCTTGGGACATAAAGAAGCAGCAGTACCGGCTGGTCGCAAAATCGATCCAAACTTTTCAATGGACGAGTTTCGAGCTGCACTTGGTTGAATTGGTTTGACTCAAATGTTTTTTGTTTGTCTTTTAGTCGCATATTGACTTTTTTTAAAAGACAAAAGTTTCCAATTCAAACATGTTGTTGTCTGCAATATCTCTCTTCATGATTCAGATTTATTGATCTATAAGATTGTTTTTGTTTTCTTGATGAGACGTATAGTAATTTAGTCGAGTGCATCACATCAAACAACAACTTGAATGATAGCCTCTGATATCTAGCAGTGTCTAGTGAACTTTTGTTTCATACTGGAATGAACGAAAACACTTGATATGTTTGGCAAAATGCACGATTGTTGTATATTTCGGGTTTCAAAGAGAGAGTGGGAGAGAAGGACGAAATCATCCGTGGTTATAGACTATGAAATGGCATTAAAATAGTAAGTCTTAGGTTTAACGGAATTCAAAACCAATCTTGAAATAATAGCTTCACATATGAAAATGTTCCAATATTCCTTTGTCGTAGCTCAAGAAAAGTTCACGATCTTATTGGCCATAAACATACTCTGGCTAGAATTGTCCTATTCCCACATTTTTATTATTGAGAGCCAAAGTCCATCTTTTGAAACCATTCCATTCTAATTTTCCACCTTGTATGCTGTATATATACTGAGTTCTGACTAGCAGACTGATCAAAGGTTTCTCTAAAGTCATTATTATATTAACGATTTTCAAAAACTGTCACTATCGAATTTTATATGTTGGCATTGCACATTTCATTTTGTGGGTGTGAGTAATAGGCGTCCTCCCACACTTATACTTTCACCAAAACTCACGTCTTCCCAGGCTTTTGAAAGATAGTTATACTGTAAGTCTTCTCCCAAGTTTGTAGCCTAGCGATATTGCTACATCTGTCTTTATTTCTCCATCTCTTTCCATCTATACAGCTATGAGAACTACACAGTAAACCTACTAGCAGATGAAAACAACAACAAATATTTAGTATCATTTTCATTCGTTCGTTGAAATTTAATCTAGTTTGAATAAATTTTACCTTTTTATCATCACATATCTTGTTGATTACAATTACAAGTTATTATCATGTGCTTTTCTTTTGTTGCTAATGAATTTCTTTATTTATTATTCTCGCTTTCAACAACGACGATGCATTCGACAGATTGTAGGCACAATCCGTAGGAGCCAACAGAAAATGTGAATTTTTACAACTGAGAGACGAGTCTTTAAAAAAAATTGCACATTTTTCAATTGAGCAAAGAGCTTGTTTCTCTTTCCAAAAGCATCCCATTCATCTACTGTATGAATTTGAGGAAACTTACTAATCTAACAGACAAGGATTCCTAAAAAGTATTTAAAAGCTTTATTTACAGTCATCCAACGTTTTTTCACTATACTTGGACAGGTTTTCCAGATCTAAATGACTTTTTTGACACATGTCAGGAATATTATGCGAAAACTTCTTGAACATTTTCAAATCCAAAATTTGCCTTTCTAATGGTCTTCATACACTTTTTATAATCAAAGTAGCTACTGTCGGTGTTTTTTGAATGGATGTGATTATGTTCAAACTCAAACTACAATATCAAGTTTTAAACGTGTTTTTACACATTATGATCTGCTTAAACAGAGTGATTGCCGGAACAGAAAAATATTGATCTAGCATACACTCAACAACGAAAAGGTGATCGATGGTTGATCTCCACTAACAATGTATATATATACAGGCATTGCAATCGAACGCCAACACCAGACGAAAAGATAGATAGAAGAAAAGTATGAAGAGAAAATTCAAATGTAATGACGTCATCGGTTGATTTAGGTTACAGTCCCTAATGGAACTTCTATTCAAAGGCCTGAATCGAACTACTCACATTCAGTAACATCAGGCACAACATTCATTATCAAACATCATTAAAAATTGATCTATGACTGAAGAAAACAATCAAATGATTCCAATGCATGAAGAATTAACCTCGAATACGATATGTAACACACTATCTTATTAAAATGGTGACGTAGATTCGCTATTACAAGAAGTTGCTATTGCAAACTACCTACACGAGCAAAAGCATAAGCATAAAAATATATTATAACCACCATTCGAGGAAGCTTACGATCTTTCTCTCCATAAACATTGGCACGCTAATCAGTATCATTCCATTTTCCACATGGACTAATTAACAATCAACTGATAGCAAGATCATAATAACCTTATCAAACATAACAGACTAAAAAAAACCCAAATACAGTGACAGATAAGCAATAGAATTCAGTAGATAAATAATTACTCAAGATTCATTGTAGTTTTGATGAAAACTTCTTTTATTTTTATGTTCTCTTTCTAACCAGTCGAATTTTTACTTCTTTATTTTCTTCTTCTACGTCTACTATTTTGTTATATTATGGTTAACTGCAATTAGGTGAATATGCTTTGATGTAAATGTTTGTTTTCATTTTCTTAAATACAGAAGTAGTAGAGATGTATATATTCTCTAAAACTTATTTCATTATTGTAACTATTTTGTTACTTATTTTGTTGTTATCAAAACTATTAATGTGTTCCTGATTTTTAATCATATTCATGTTTTCATACTATTAGTTCATTTTCTGTAAATAGCATATATTTCATGTCATTATGCGTTCAAGTGCACATCTATTGAGTAGAACACTATAAGACTATATACACTATATATCTTATCCGAACAGATAATCATCCATTTTATATTATCTCCTTTTCTCTGTCTCTCCATTTCTCTCTTTATGCGGTGAGTAGTTTTATGCGAGCAAAGAAGATAGAATGGCATTTTGATATTGAATAAAGGCAAGAAAGAAAGTATGCGAAAGCATATAAACCGCTACAATACCTTCGAACAGCTCCTATATGACAAGACGATCCTAAGACGAAGTTTCTTTTACCTTCTTCCCAAAAAAAGTGTTCTATAAAGGTCATGTCGAGAATATAACGGAGAATCTTTCCAGAAAAAAAATCAGATTTTTGCCATAGCAAAAGAAAGATAATGCAAAAATATTGACAATAAAAATTTTTTCTGTTTCATCCGTTTCAAATGAAAAAATATGAGATATTTTGTTTATTGTTCATGAATCGTATTCTTTTCGGTCATCCATCATGTAGAAAAATATCGTTTGAAAATGCATACGTAATGTTTCATAAACTCAGGTCCCTGCATCGATCTAGGCGTTCTTTGAGAATCAGTTACGGACTTTTCAAACGATTGACCACAAGCTATTTTTGATCATATTAGTTAGTATACCGGAACTCCAAACAAATCAAAGAAAATACCGCAATACACTGATGTACATTTTTCTTCAAATCCAGTTTCCTTCAAAAAATACAAGAAAACAGCCAAGAGCACTCCTATAATAAAGTAAATTGCATCAAGAATGAATACATTTTCTTAGGCGTGGCTCATCTCTCGTTATCTTCTTTGTTTCCTATTTATTAATTCCAGTTTAGTCCTCGTATATCACATGTTTTTCCATGATGGGAAGGAGCTGAAAAATTATAGTCAACAAAGAGCATATGAGTTTTTCTTAGCCATGTAATGTTTTTAAAAATAAGCAGTTTTCTCGTCTCATTTAGAAAATACACACAATATTTCACTTCATTTGTATGGGAAACGTTTACCAATATAGTAGCCAAACACATAATCCTAACAAGAAAAGTAAATTGAAAAAAAATGATGTACTCTTTACATCACAAACGACATCATCGAATAAGTTCGTGAATCTGACTGCCTACGGACACAGCTCGAAAATATAACAAAATAATGGCTACATATTTTATCGTGTTTCTATATACGTTTTCAGCTCTATCCCTATGACAAAAATAGTTCACAAGAGTATCTTTCTTTGTAAATTAACATCCATATACGACTTCATCGGTGTGAATAGTGTCTCGGTCTTTGTTTATATTCAAAACTTCTTTCAGTTTGCACAATTGGAGCAAACAATCTTGCTGTGCTTGACGAGACGTACATTGATTGTTAATATGTCACATTTTCCTTTGAGAGAAATATAAGACTTCGAAGTCATGTGGACATACGATTTTTTCAGAAGAACTTTGCGGCATGATCTGAACGCGATAGATCCATTGTCTCACATGCATTAAATGACAAGATTTAAATCTTTCAGAAATTGTGAACTGATTCCCGCTGTAAAAAATACCAGTTTCACCTTCCAAATTGAACAAAGTGACAAACCACTCACTAATATTCTTGAAAGGGGCATTATTGAGGAGTCACTTTTACAATCATTTTGAAAATGATTGTAGAGATGAACATTTTCCAAATCATATAGTAGATTAAGATTTGTATTTGACATTAAAATATGAAGTGACTAAGCTACATCTCATTTGCTCAGAGGGTATTGTGTGTAGTATCAAGACATATCTACAGTTTGAAGTTTATGCTCAAAACTTGCCTTCAGTACTTCGAATCAATGGTTCTCTAAGTCTCTTGTTCAGAAATTGTTGTGAAAATTTGAATATGATGATTTATGAATATTTTCAAACTTTACAAAATACACTACTTGGCTTTTGATTTTCATTCGAATGATTGTTTGCTCAAGGGCATAGTCTACGATACTGGCTAGAATACCAGAAACCAAAAATATTCACAAATGCATATCTCTTCAGTATGTCATCATGCTACCTAGAAAATTTCACGATAGCCACAGTTTATTGTGGTCTATCGACTGAAAGTCTCGAAAAATTTTCGAATAACTTAGAAACAGCTTCGGACTTTGTCATGATTCGCCTTCTGCTCTTTCTTCAATATTGCACAGAAAGGCTTAGTATAGTGAAAATATAAGTTCTACTCATCTCATTTGATACCTAGCTTGAAGCAGTTATTTTCCTGCAAGTGTCGATAAGACTGCTTTTTTAAGAGACGATGTGGGTGTGGACATGACTCTTCTCTTCATTGACACTCAAATCTACATTCCACTCGTAGCCTCGATCGAATGGGATGGAGGCAACAATTAGTGTCGCTTTTTTTCTTTACTCACTTCTTATCGAGCAG